GCTCCCTGGTGCAGCCCTCAGCTCCTCCTCTGCTCCCTCGTGCTGTCCCCCAGAGGCACCACACCCCCTGTGTCCTGATGGAGCATGCTGACCTCTCCTGCCCCAGGGCTCGCTGCTCCAGGCACAGCTCCTCTCTTTTGTGAAAGACAGTGTACAACTTAAGACTTTAAAAAGTCCCAGGCAACACCCCGAGTTCTCGTGGCTTTTGCAGAAACCTGGCAAAATTCAGCAGCTGCTCTGCTGTGACAGCTGCTGTGGTGGTGACCCAAGGCACTGTACTCTTTACTCAGGGGTAGCTGCTGCCTCACACACTGAAGGCCAGAGTCTCCTTCTGTTTCATTTCTCTGCTGATTTTACTGAGATGGTTTAACTGGGATACATGTAACAACATCTGTGAAAAAATGTATTAATTAGAAAAAGACTGGAGCAGGTCAGGCATCTGGAGAAGCAGGCAGCAGGGTCAGTGGGAGCTGTGTTGCAGGCCTCCTGATCTTTCCCCACAATAAAAGTGCACACTAAATTCTCTTTATGAAATTAAATTATTACACAGTAAAATAACGGTCAAGACAGACACTAGGAGGAATAAAATTACACCTTACTTTCTTCTTTAAAAAATTAAGAAATATATTTCCACTGTACTCTCCAGAGATCACCACTGGATTTTTCTGTGAAAGAACCACCTGCACATGAGAGCTGCAGAGCCTCAGCCCCTCGGGGGGTCACCAACATCCCCTCCTCAGCGTGGCTTTGCCAGGAGGAGCTGGAGCACTCTGGGGACTCTCCTCCTGAGGAGAGGGAAGGTGCTGCAGGCAGCTGCCTGCCAGGCTCCCCGCAGTGAGGAGGCACCAGGAACAGAAGGGCAGCAGAGCTCTCTGCCTAGCTGGTGTTTGGAGCAGCACTATCCCTACACTGGCAGGGCAGAGATGTTTAAAACAGTATAAAGGATGAATCACACAGCTGCAGGCCTGTCTTCAAAAAAAGCTAAATTTCCCCAAATAACTGCTTTATATTTCCCTCTGTATCTGCTGTAAAGCCAGTTTCCCCTGATGTGGATCCTACAGTCTTTAGGGGATTCCTGTATCAACATAAAATTTAAAAAAACCCCCTCCAAATCTATCTTGGAATACAGAAGCTGATTAGTTCACAAAGTGAGTCTCCTTTAATGGAATCACCCAGCAGCTCTCTAATAATAAAATATGTTTTTGCTATTGGTACTAGAAGATTGATCAATAAAACAGAAACACTATTTTGGAAGGAAAAGCCTTATTTCTTTTAACCTTAGAACAGCAAGTGCTTCACATACTTCAAAATGAAATGGTCTGTAACTGCACCTTCTAGACCTGAAAATGTGATAGATGTCTTCAGTACTCTCCTAAATCCACACTGAAAAAATGAAGCAAGAGGTTTGGCTTTGAAAAGGGCAGAACCATGAACATTCAGCTCTTCCCCAT